ATGCGAGTCAACGAACGAGATGATATGGCCTTTCACCTGTTAACCCATATCGAAAAGGATTAAACCAACAGAATGATATTCATAAGCAAAACAATAAGGAAAGTTATACTACACATCAAACCATAATGAACAACGTTCACAGTAACTCCTTACCAAAATTAAAATTTTTATCAATACCAAATCCTTCAAAGCAATGTTTCATAATAGAAAAAAAATGTTGTGGAAAAGTGTATCTTTGGTTAGTATTACAGTCTTATCTTTCTCATTTTTATCTCTCTACCTATCCATTTGTAAATGCATACACACGTACTAAGGACTTTTTCTTATATTACTCTAACTTTATAAAGATACAAAGCACAATACCAGTATTTTCTCACCATTAATAGGCTTGGAATATTCTAAACACAGCACTTCAGAATCATGAGCCTCTATTTTATACAACACTTCCATTGTGTGAAGGTCACAGATTCTGAAAAAATGAAATATTTTGATATAGATGCTTAAGTACTTCAATTCTTTATATTTACAGTTGTAGCAAAACAAATTAAAACTCTTAGTATGAGTTTTCCAGTAACTAACTACAAAATCAGCATCTACATTTTTGAATTTATTGACTATCATATTTTTGAAATCTCAACTGTTACAGGAAACAGCAATATCAATCATAGTATATGTAAAACAGTTTATGATGACCTGACTGTGGATTAGGAGTTGATAACAGTGTGTATTTTAGTAATCTAACAGACACTGTTTATTACTGCTAGTAATTTCTTAATCAACACCCACCTCACATTTCCTGAACGATCACCCGATGCCAAATGACGACCATCGTGACTAATACGGAGACATCGGACCCCATTTTTACCATCATAAGTTGTATCCACTTTGTCATTACTTCCAGCTATTTAAAAAATCCATGAACTGAATTTATAGCTACAAACAAATAATTCAAAATATTAAATCTCCAAATTTTATGAACATAAAACACTAATGTGTACATCCAAAGGTGTAATAAAACACAAAATACTTTATATAGTAGAACATGAAAGCATGATTTATAACAAAATAAGCCTTGTTAATCTATAAATAATGTGATTAGTTTTGCATTACCTGATATGAAACATGCATTTATTATGTGATTACTTAAAACCTTCTGCATGTGTAAAATTCCCCCATGTAATACCTGAGTAACTATACATTCAAGTAACAGACAAAATTAATGATGTAATTTGTGATTACATATACATATTCCATAACAGACTTCACTCAGCCAATATTATGTATGTAATTACACATTCTATAATATATGTCTCAAATAACATTTCATAACAGATATAAAACTAACCAACTTAATATGTGGCTAATTATGCATTACAAATAATACCTCATTTATTCATATGTTTATATATGTAAAATATGCAGTATTTCACATACTAGCTAATGAATATAACTAACAGTATCTAGATGAAGGTACACAGACATTTTGTGGAAAATTGACCACTAATATCCATTAATTTATCAATAACTGTACTACATCTTTTGCCAATATTAGATACTTGATTACTTGTTGATGTTACTGACAAGTTACACGTATGATCACACTATCGCTAGTTCAAATTTTATTCAAACTGTAAGTTACATTACTATTTGGATTTGTTTTATAATTTCTTTCTATATTTCTTGTTTGTTGAATCTTATACAACAAAAGTGAACTAACTTCGAATCTGATGGTTACCAAACGTTGGCAACTTTGAGCAGTCTGAGATATTTGCATAAATCCAAGATGGCCATAAGTCAATTTTTGATTTTTTAAATGTATTACTAACACAAAAAGTTTTAATAAAACATGACATTCTGAAGATGTTTCACTCAACAAACATTTTTGTGTGGTGTTCCTTTTAGAAATTATTTGTAAGTTATGTTTTCATGTTGCCCCAATTTATGATTCACAGTTATATAATCAGAGAAAACATTAACCAGAATAAATTCAGTCTCCAGTTGCTACATCATTAATACCTGAATGTATCCAGTGTGAAAACACGTCAAACTTCAATGGAGTTTTGGCAAAAGTTTGGGAAAACAAGCAGAAATTTTTGTCTTCCCTTATCCTGTTGATAAAACTATAAAAATATCTTTGTTTCCCGATATAGATATGATAGCCATTGTCTGTTTATCTTTGAAATTAAACACATATTTTCTTTATATAAACTGAATAGATTCGTCAACATCCATTTTGCAAACAATAATACTGAAAACTTACAACAGATATTGTGACTGTGCAAAATCTACAATTCTATGGTTTTTATTGGTAATCTGTAAATAACAATTTACACATTTTTTACATTAGGCACATTCAAGCCCTCATAAATGAACGTAGTAAGATAGAGGTCACTGAATTAGTCAAGTTAGAAAACATTAGCAGACATGATTTGCAATATATTTTAATTTGTCTGAATACAGCTACAACTCTAAGTCTAATATAAATGATTCTAAACCATTAAATGCATGATTTTATAATTATTACCACTTTTTACACTATTTACGTAGGAATTTCAATCAGCTTCCATACCTACATGTTAATAATAATCATCATAATTCATTTTCATTGTCCTTAGTCTCTACCTTCCTCACTGCCTACTTGACTTATTCATTATTACTTTTTACACTTTACAATGTAAGCATACTGTGCATGATATTTGAGCAGCTTTGCAAATGCAACTTACACGGATGCATGACTTTTCAGCAGTACACTTGCAAGCTACTTAACACTCAGAATTCCAGTAATGAGATAAAGAAATCCCTCACAAAATTTGCAATGTAATAGCAACATCAGGGGGAATTATCTTGATCAGCAGCTTTCCATTACATTATCTCTAACTTATCAGCTGGTGGAAGTGTTTTGATATTTTAGCCTGTGTGTTTATTACATTCTATAAATGTCATTCATCATTGCTGGTAAAGAAATGAAAAAAAACAGGATGGCCAACTTCCAATAACATCAAGACCAAAAATGTCACACTTAAGAAGCTGCAAACCAAAAGTTTTATTTTCCATAAGAGAATAACCCTGGGTTACATCCAAATACTGCATATAGGGGCAACAATTGTAGGCATATTTCACCAAGTTTTCCGGGCTGTATTGTCAAATTTTTTCATTGTTATTGTAGCCCATAGTTTATGTTTCCAATAAAAACAAGTATAATAAAATTGTATTTACTTTTATAAAACAAGTAGGGATCAATACATATGTAACCTAACAAGCTATAGTAATATAGAAAGTTTTAATGCTACTAACAGTATTGAAACAAGAAAGTTAAAACTACAAAAACTGAGTTATTTAAAATTAATTTCTTTTATCCCTACTTATAAATTCATTTGTTGCATTAAAACTTTCTATATTATCATAGCTAGCTAGGTTAAGTATATATATCCATCCCGATTTGTCTTTATAAAATTAAAAAACAAATTTATTATACTTCTTTGTTTCCTTTTTATTACCTATATTTTTGTGCACCAGTGATATCAAGTGTGGGGAACACGTAAACCTGATTTCATTTTATTACTCATCAGGATCTCTACCAACCTACCCTCAAATCTAATTCTACCCAAAGGAGCACATCATCTATTTTGTGTATGTATATTAGTATCCTTTTCAGTACAAGAAAGGATTTATTGGGATCCCAGATGGAAGAATGTTGTGAAAAAATTAGTGATAAGGTTCATCCTTTTTTCTGTACACTTCTTCTGGAAAAGTCACTCACTTACTTAGATAAAATTAATTGAAATAGTGAAATTTTGATTCACTCCACAAACACATATGTAGCAATTTAGGTGGCTTTATAAACACAATAAGCTTTAGTTTTGCTCAGCCAATATTGTGAAACAGTCATTGTTAATATTCAAACATTTTGAAGGTGTTTTAAATGGACAATTTTTATGGCTGCCACTTTGTTTCATCACGATCCCTTACTATTAAGTACTATCATAATGAAAATATCTGTATCTTCACTGATAATCAGCACATGCTGCTTTTTTCCTTGTTGAATGACCATGAGGAGAACATAACTAACTAAGTTTACATCATCCTCATATTGAAACATGCACTCTTTGTTACCAACCATGTTCAGTATATTAGCATGGAGTACTTAACATAATTAGTTGTTTTTTATTTGTAACATTTTCCATTACTTCACTTCATGTTGGAAAAGATGTAATGTCACAGTGAAATGTCTTCAAAATATTAAATATTATTTAAAGCCATAAGTATTAGTAATCTAACAAAAAACTGGCTGATGACCATCTTAGATTTATGCAAATATCTCAAATGGTTCAAAGCTGCCAAGGCAGCATCCATAAGATACAAATTTAGCTAATTGTTTTACTATAAGATTCATCAAAAAATCTAACCCACTTACTGTAACTTACCGTTCAACCTCGTAGCAACCTAAGTAGTATTATGGTAATACATAACCATTAAAAGTTAATTTCCAAGCTTCAAATACCTGGATTAAAATCCACATCACATAAGTAAGTAAGCTCTGGATCCGTGTATAAAACCTTCAAAAGGTCCTAGAGGAGATAAAAAAAAAAACAACTGACATGCCAATGGATAGTGCAATGTATAAATTATAAACCATAAGCTACTAAACCAGGTAGAATTACTTTAAACTACTTAACAACAATTGTTAGCAAGAATTATAGTGCAACTCACATAAAAAATAAATATTGTCAGGCTTTTTTAAACTACTTAACAACAATTGTTAGCAAGAATTATAGTGCAACTCACACAAAAATAAATATTGTCAGGCTTTTTTGAAACACATCTCTAATATTCAACACTAACAAATTATTCACCATCATATTTTTTACAACATACTTCAACAGCTGAGTAACAATAAGTTATCTTTCTCTAACATATTTTACAACTCAGCTGTACTAGACTTTAATTTTGGATTGAATTTTGTTTTGCCTACGTTAAAGAGCAGAAAACATAAAAAAATGAATGACATATCTCTATCTACCCCTCCGTAATAAAAATGAATTTCTAATTAATATGATATGACAGCAATTAACAAATTAATCCACAAATTTGAAGTTTCACCTACTCATTAAAACTAGTTAATGTCAACAAAGTTAAAGCTTAATCAAAATTTGACCACTCTTTTAATGAGTGTTGAAGACATTTAATTTTTTTAAGGCAAGATATAGTTAAATTGGCAAATTAAAAATGTTCTAACCATATATGAAAAATGGGAAAATATAATATGAAACAAACTGAGCACAAGTACACTGATTTCTTTTTTAGAATAAATCTGAACATTTTAAAGTTTGAAACACATATTTCCTGGATTAATAAAGTGTTATTTTTTATTTAAATGATGTAATGATTAAGTATTTGTAATAGAATGACGTTATCACATATCTAATATTACATATATCTGATATTACACAATATAATATTTATAAGTTATTATTTCACAGTTACAAATAATCAATGAGCAGTTATAATAGTTGGTTTGTGAATGCAATCCCTGCCCAGACAAACCCAACAATAATTTACATTTTTGAGAAACGTGATGGAAATAAGTGAAAAAATAGTAGGAAGAAAAAAAAATTATCTGGTCTTGTGTTTGAATTTAATGAAGAAGTAATCATATCCATAATTAAAATTATCAAAAGAAATGAGAATCATCAGACTCTAATTCACTGAATTCATATTAAATCATTTTTATATTTCAGTATTTTTTCATTTATTTTTACAATTAAACTACAAAACTTACCAACTGTAAGGGACTTCTGAAGTCATTTTTTAAAAATGTCTGTTTTGGATATTTGCAGAAAACTGTGCTAGCCATCCATAATCCTGACTGGCAGATTACAAGGAAGACAGCTAGCAAACAAAACCCACTGCCAATGCTTGAGCTACTCTAATCAAATAGTGTAATTAACTCTCACTCCTTAATGCACCCAGACCCTCAAAGAGCAGAATGGAATTTTATGCCATTGGAACATGGACTCTTAAGATTCACAGTTGAGTAAACTAACCACTAGGCCATGTCTGGCCCTTTTAGAAATGAACCACAACACAGCTTATACAGTTCAATTACAATGTTTGTTGTACTGTCTGCTTTTCTTCACTTGCTTGGACAGTTGAACTACAACAGTTTATCTACTATAGGATTTTATTAACATGGTTGAATAGTTGAACAACAACCAACCATGTTAAGAAAACTTTACAGGTGATAAATTGACAGTTTAACTACAGCAATTTATCAATTGTAAAGTTTTCTTAACATGGTTGGACAGTTTAACTACAACAATTTATCACCTGTAAAGTTTTCTTAACATGGTTGGACAGTTTAACTACAACAATTTATCAACTGTAAAGTTTTCTTAACATGGTTGGACAGTTTAACTACAACAATTTATCACCTGTAAAGTTTTCTTAACATGGTTGGATAGTTTAACTACAGCAATTTATCAACTGTAAAGTTTTCTTAACATGGTTAGATAGTTTAACTACAGCAATTTATCAACTGTAAAGTTTTCTTAACATGGTTGGACAGTTTAACTATAACAATTCCTCTATTGTAAGTTTTTCTTAGCAAAATTATGAACTGCAATAGTTTGTTCTTAGTACATATCGATAATCGAAAAGGTAAAATTTATCAGCAATTTTTCACCATGGTTGGAAATTGAAACTAAAAGAAATTATCTATTTTCAAGGTTCTTTTAGCACATTTGTACTATTTAACTTACCTGAGATCAGGCTTTCCTTTTCCCTTAAATAGTTGAAAAGCAAACATGTATAATATTTATGGATTACAGCTCCAAAAAGAAACAAACAAAGATTTTACTATTAGGTATTTTTTAATATACTTCAACACTTCAGTGAATACCAAACATTTCTTACACTAATGCTTTTACTTCAACTTAATAACACTTACAGAGCTATAAATATTTTTTTGAAAGTTGGAATTGTGATTTAGATTTGGTGTCATGTTCCACACTCTGATCGTGTCATCACTAGAGCAAGTCAGGAATGTTCCAGGTGGCACCACTGATCTTTGTTTGTCTGATATTTCTGGATATGTCTATTACATAAGTAATAACATTAATAAAATATTGATATTCTTAATACAATCAAAACTTCAAACAGAAAATATTATTAAAATTCATATGCCATAAATCTATCCAATGACAAGAGTAAAAACTGTAATTAGAATTATGATATTGTAAGTAGATTCTCAGTGAAAGTAATAACGATAATCATAATATCAAAACTCAGGTCATTTCCAGCACAAAAGGAAAAAATTAAAATATTGATGCTCTGGATAAATCACTGTTAGAATAAACATAGTGCTTAAAATACTAATTAAGTTACAATATAAATTTTACGCTGTATAGTGACTGACATGTTGTTGATGAAGCATGATCCTTTTGGGTATTATTCATGATGAAACATCACAAAAACTACAATATATATATATTTGAAGACCTTCCATTCTCAACTGGCCCAACATGTTTTGATAAACATGGGGTATATAACTATATTATTAAAAAACAAACTTGTAGTAGGCTACTGTCAACGAGGCCTTTAAATCTTATCAGGCAAACTAGATTACAACATTTAACCATTTATCATCTCCACCCATATATATATATACACGTGCTAGACATAATCTCCACATCCGTATACACGCCAGTTGCCTCACGTGTCATTTAAGTGCCTCACGCCTGGTTTGTTGTGGTCAAACCATTGGTACGGTAATGGAAAAAAAAACTTTCCTTGGATGTTAAGATGTTAAAGCATCAGTTTTAAAAATATGTCCACTTCTGTTGAGATGTTTCCGAAAATATGTTATCCAGAAAAGAATTAGGTTTTGCACAACACTGATACACAAATATATGGTGTTCTATCTGAGACTGTGGGTTATAAGTTCACCCAACCTGACAAGTTATAGTACTAGAAGAAACACCTTATCATAAATGACCAACAACAGAGTGAAATCTATGAGAGGGGTTTAAAGACATTTCCCATTTTCTGTTGTGCATCAATTTACATCCCATCCCAATCTGTTTAAGTATCTTATCAAGAAACAATAGTAAATATAATATATATATATATCCAAAAGTCACTCATAAGCTCAACAATGGTAAACTCAATACTAACATCCTATTATCTCTGTGTCATGGTAAAAACAGTTGAGAAAAAAAGACATTACATTCTGAAAAACTAGTAGTTCTAAAAGTGACATAAAATAAGTTCATTACAAAATTAAAACTTACAATTCTAGTAGTGATACACCACCAAGCGAGGACCATATCACTGATTCTTATATGTAAAAGTTCATGTATATAAGTTCTACAGATTCTTCTGAACTTTTTGGAACACACTTTATCTCATACTTACCTCAACCCCCCAGATACAAGCACTGTGGTACATCGATGAGTGAGATTTTCCTACTTTTTTCATATCTTTTACATCCCAGATATACAAGCTGTGGTCGTTATATATACAAGTCACCTAAAAAAAAAAGCATGCAACTTATTTACCTGGAAACAAAAACTCAAAATCCTCACGTACATCGGTATAAACCTTTTATATGTTATAAAAACACTGATAAGGTGGAGTTGCAAATATGCTTTATATGTTGTGCAATTAGCTTTTATATGAAGTTGTTCTTTAGTATCACGTATAATCCATGAAAAAGGAAAAAACAGTGTCTTACTTTCAAAAGTATTTTAACTCACAGTACCACGCTGAAGCTTTAGAAAGTTTGACATGTTATAAAACAAATTTATATTTTTGCCTAATTTAGGCTTGCAGAGATGCCAAATTTTGTAGAAAACTAGCCAAACATGCTCTACATATTTTATTGGCTATATCAAAACTAAAAATTTCCTAAACTTAGTCATTTAGAATTATCTTATTTTGTTTCTACGTTTGGTTGTTTTACCAATTTTTTAAATGGTGGAGTCTTATCTTACATTTGATTAATCAGAATTCTATGACTCATGTGTAAGCAGTCTCCTATGTTTTTTTTAAGTTTTGGGTGTGCATTTTGTCCTTTTATTAACCAATATACTGAAAGTTTTCAAACCTTTCGTGGCTTTTGTCAATAGTAGCTCAAAGAAACAGTAACAAGAAACTTTAAATTTTTAACATTATAACAAATAAGTGAGATATTAAAGTAGAACATGTCAACACAGAAAAAAACAACAACAGAGGTATTAACATGAGTACTGTCAGAAGAGTGGTCTAATGTAACTTTTCTCTACCCCCCATACCATCTGAGGTTTGTAAGATCAACTTGAACTCCTTCAATCTAAACTTTAAATTGAAAATTAAGAAATGTCATAGCAAAAGCAATCATTGTTGTTTATGTTTACTTCTGAAAATTAGCTAATTACTAACTTCTGTATTACTATGTTACAATGCTAGTTTGTTTTGTTGCTAAGTGCAAAGCTACACAAAACACTATCTGCACTTTGTCTACAGTAGACAAACGATCATGACTGTTGACCAAGTTGAAAAATTTACTGTTAAGTAAAGAGTTAATTTGCTTAAGTCAACTACAATTCTTTTAAAAGGCCAAAACATGGTGTTTTTGTAATGCAAACTTACTGTATGAAGCTATACGAGTATTGTATATAGCACCAAATATGTGTACATAAACATGCATTTCTCTTTAAATATACAAACAAGATTACTAATCTATGTATTGTTTGTTTGTTATGGATTTCGTGCAAAAGCTACATGAGGGCTATGTGCGCTAGTCATCCCTAATTTAGCAGTGTAAGACTAGAGGGAAGGCAGCTGGTCATCACCACCCACTGCCAACTCTTGGGCTACTCTTTAACCAATGAATAGTGGGATTGACCATCACATTATAACGTCCCCACGACTGAAAGGGTAAGCATGTTTGGTGTGACAGGGATTCGAACCCGCGACCCACGGATTGCGAGTTGAGTGCCCTAACCACCTGGCCATGCCGGGCCTACTAATCTATGTAATATACTTTTAAACTACATGTGATGTTTTATTTCACTGATATGGATTATCTGTAAAATAAACGGGTTTCAAATAAAATATAAAATAGTAGTTATGGTAACAACATCAGTAAATTATACAAATTACTACTGTCAAAGGGTAAAATCTACCCTTCATTAGAGCCCAGTTGCTGAGTCACTTAGGGACATATGTTACAATGAAGTTATTTTCAAAATGATGTTTGTTTTTTCTCAACTTGAAAAAATTAGATTACCTACCTTTCGACATGTTTCATCAAAAGTTATGGCTACTGTATCAGGATACTTGGCACCGGTTGGGTGAGAGCTTATACGACTATCAAAAAGAACAAAAGATAATTGAAATCACTTAACATTGGAAAATTAAATGTAATAACAAAATTTTGACCATCTATTATAAGACCTCATAACTATTAATCCTATCTACATCAAAAATAACTCAGGATGTTTTGATTATCACTTTGAAAGGACACAAATTAAAAATCCTTTTAAAATGTCTGCATTATTTGTCATTTTTTAAAGCAAATTCTCTAAGTTTTCTTAACTCGTCTTTAAACAATATTTTAAAACATTCATTAACACTGAATTGAGGGGTGGACAATATCTTACTATATAAACAAAAACAACAACAACAACAAAAAAAAAAGAATTGCAGAATAAGACTCACCCTATCAAGTCTTAACTTATATTATGATTACAATGAAACTTGTCAAATCAAAAACACAGTTAAAAAAAAACTACAAACAACTTATTTATATTATAGTGTTACAAAACCACAGAAAAACAACAACACTATTACAAAAATTATTATAATAGAAGGAATCTTACTGGTAGGAGTTTTAGTAAGAATTATATAAAATCTAAAAAAAATATCTATATATAATAAAAAACATAATTTTCATTACAAGACTTTACCTTTCATGTTTAAGTATTTCTAAATAAATACTATGTTACATCTATACTCGGGACTAACTTTCATACGAGGTACTAAGTTTTATAGGTCAAAACCTCAAACACATATGATACTTTAACAGCTGCCAGATCTCTGAAAGTTATCTATTACTTTAGGTTTAAGGCTGTTTCCAAAGGATCAGGTTGCAGATGAAAACAATCATTAGACTTTGATTTTTCTATCTTTTTTTTTTGTAATTAACATTTGCTTTTTCAATTATCATCATCATCATTTTAACACCTATAACACTACTATGCAAGTTTGTTTGTTTTAGAGCAAAGCCACATTGGGCTACCTGCTGTGTCCAACCGCAGGGAATTTAACTCTGGATTTTAGTGTTGTATGTCTATAAACTTATTGTTACCCCACTGGGGGATCACTGCTATGTAAATGGTATAGAAGATAAAAGGAAAATATCTATTTTGTGACAAATGCCTGTTACAACAATTAAAGAGGAAATTAAGCTAGCTGTTGCCAATAAAATGTTTAAATATCATCTGTCATATTCAAACTACAAGGTTTACTTTCTGTGATAAGACAAAAAAACTGTCAAGATTATCAATGCTTTGTAACTTTACCTTCCTATGACTCCCTTGGCAACATCAACACCTAAGTAGTGTGGTTTGGGCAATGTAGAAATATACTGAAGGCTGAAAGGACTAAAACACCTGACAATCCCTTCTGCACAACCAATGAAAATGTAGTCCTCAGCTACACATATACTATTGGCACTGATAGTCTGAAAGCCATGCAAAAGAAAAAAAAAACACATCAACATTTTGATGAAAAAGTTAATTTTTTCAAGCCTGTGATGAATTAAAAAAACCTAGGTACAAAATGTTAAAAAACAACAATAATTAAATACATATTTAACTAAACCAATTAATGAAAATATAAAAAAGTATGAACTGGAACATCTTTATTCCAGCCACTTTTCTCACACTTATCATCATCAAAAAGGTAGTACTTTCCTTTAATCCTACTCACTTCTCTTACAATAACATTACACCATTAGTATTTATCTTTAGATCTACCAATTTCTTCAATATATGTATTTATTTTTATTTTCTGTAACTAATGTTCTCGTACCAATAATGTTTCTTCATCTTCAGTCCACTGCTTGTTTTGTTTTAATTGTGTGCAAAGTTATTCCAGAGCTATCTGCACTAGCCATCCCCAAGTTTTAAGTGACAGATTAGAGGGAAGGCAGTTAGTTAATACCAACTACTCCCAACTTGTGGGCTACTGTAATTAAATAACAAGATTTGACTGTCATTCTTATAACACACCCAGGAACCCAAAGTGTAGAGAGCACTTTTTTGTGTTAACCACGGAACCTCAGATCCACAGTCTGTTATGTTGACCACTGGACCCAGTTCAGCTCCTATACGTTTGTTTTTAAGCACAAAGCTACACAATTAACATCTGTCCTCTGCGCACTGAGAGTATCACAACCAAATTTGTAACATTTTAAGACTTCAGGCTTACATCTGAACCACTAAGATCCAATATAATGCTTCTTAAAGTTCAACTGATAATTTTAGTTGAGCTTTGTGTTGGGATAAGAGTAACCAAATATCCTGATGTGTGTGTAAAACTGAAATGTTGATGACAACAATTTTATTTCTAGAATTAGTCTGATTACAGTTTCATCTGAAAAATATGCTAAATTCAGTTTAAATATATTACAAAATTTGAAAACTTTCTCAACAGTCAACATTATCAAACAACTGGCTTACCTTTACCATAACACACATTTTTATCAAAATATCAACAATATCAAATTGTTAACTTTTATTCTTTTTGCCATTCACTTTTCTATTAATCCAGATTATCAGAACACTAACAATTATCTATAATTCAACCCACTATAATATTATTCCATATTTACAGCTGGTGCTTACCTTTAGCTCCACCCACTTTTCCAACAAACGACGACTGTTAAAAACACACAGAAGTCCTGACTTAGTAATAGCATAAGTACTGTCTGCCATCTCTCCTCGACCACATGCTACATCACAAAAGTAGTTGTTTCTTTGATCACCTAAGATTGCTGACCGCCCCATTAGAGGGACAGGTTCCAATTTGTACTACACAAGAAGATAAAGAAAAAATAAAGTTTCATATATATATATATATATATATATATATATATA